GTAAATACAATTATTTTCGGGAGCTTATAAATTTTATGTATGTTATGTCCCCCTCCCCCCCCCCGAAAATCTCTGCCCCCTTGGGGTTGCCCAAGTCAACCCAGTTGCAGCTCAGAAGACACCATGGCTTGCGCATGTGCATTTGCATCCCCGGCTTAGTGAGAACGTTTTCTGCAGATATTATCCGAAACGCTTCCCCTCCCCCCAAATGACGTATATTTACTGAAGAAGTATAATTTATGTCTTCATGTACCTTAACATCTGTACGTTCATGTCAACAACATCATTTATTACAGATACGCAATCTGTTTTCTGTGTCGCTGATTGTGTCTGCAGCAGCAAATTTGTAGCAACACTACACAAGGACGAACGCAATATCCAAAATGTCTGTTTTTAGAAGAAGCGTAAAGATTACTGTTGTCTGGGGTATGACGTCTTGAAATTTAATAGACAGGTGACAATGTTTCGGAGGGTCCTGTTGCAGCCATCTTAAGAAGCGGTAGCAGATTCCTCCGAAACGTTGATAGCTTTCTACCAGAGAACACGGCGTCACATCACAGAAGACATTAATATTCATATTCACCGCTGTGCGAACCTCATACCATGTGGAATGAGTGAGTTTTCCGGATTTCTGTGGGCTATATTTTGCTACTTTTTTGTTTTGTTTTCATAATTACCGTGCCATGAATTTTTTCGTAGTAATTATAATGTTTAGTCAGCTTTATAAACCAGCAGGGATAGCGTAGTCATATAGCGACTGGTTATGGGATGGACGACCGAAGGGTCGGGTTTCGAGTCCCGGTAGAGTCAAGAATTTTCTCTACTCCAATCGTCCAGAGGTTCTTCATTGCAAGACAATATCACTATGCCTTCTTGTCTCTTGCACTAGTTGTATTCAACCCTTTTTGTTCGCCTACCCCTAGATCTAATTTCTCTTCAACTTTGTACCCCCAGAATTGTTGGTGTATAATTCAAATTATACACAGTCTATAATCGGCATCTAAAATAAATTAAATTGCAACCAAAATAATAAGTTTCAAATAAGAAAAAGGAGAATTTAGCTATTTCCTATCATACAAGAATTAATAAAGAAACAAAGGTATTTTAGCAAAGCAAAATTATATGATTAATTATTTCATCAGTTGTTAATATGGTTCTGGCCTGGTAATGAGATGATTGAGCTTGTTTCTGGCATGCCAGTACCTCAATTCGGGGACGGATTTTAATTTTACGTACCCCGTAAGATGTCTTCGCGTGCCCCAGGTTGAAGACCAATGTCTTACACTGTGGAGGGACCGGATTTAGCCCAGTCATACCTCTGCTTCTAGACCACAGATAAGACAAGGTTACAAACTAACAAGGACGCAGTGTAGCCTGCTCAAGAATCGTCTGGGGATTAATCCTTTAAGGAACAGTGGTAACTCTGTATACCACCTGATTTTTTTCACTAAGACTCTTAGTTTTACCAGCAGAATATGGGCTAAGTCCAGTTCTCAACAGAGATTCTTCCTTGTACAACATTAACCAGTTGACCTTTGCCATAGAGACGGAATGTGTTTCCCGTGAAGCTGGAAGTGAGCTTTTATTAAATATTATTTAGATCAGCCGTGTAAAACATGCGGCCCCCATAGCCACAAAGTGCGGCCCCTCAACTTTTAGAGCTGATTGATATTAAAATTTTAGTAGAAATATTTTTTGTAAAGACAATTTTCCAACAGACCAGAAGACAAGAAGTCTCACGCTGACATAAATTAGCAGGCTGCAGGAAATTCAATGTTTTGCTATTTCTAACATAATTTCTTGTGTAATCTCTCTTTTTACATATTGAAAAGTTGTTTGATACTTGTCAAAAGTGGCATTCTCTTGCTTTTTAAAACTGTAAGTATGTGATTTTAGGTAATTATATTGAAATTATTCCTAAATAATAAATAGAATTAAATTTCCTTGTATCAAAATCTAATGCATATTTCTATTTTGAAGTGCGGCCCTGGACTATTATTTATAGGGCTGAGGTGGCCCTCTGTACAAGTTGAGTCTGACATGCCTGCTCTAGATAAATGTCAGTCTTTGAAGAGTTAATTAAATTTCCTAATTTTCCATTCAGATTACAGCAGCCTAGTTCTCCAAACAATGCAAATAGTACGATTGTTCTTTTTCGATAATCTGCATTATCGTCACTCGGTAGGAATACTCGAGTTTGATTCAAGACATTTCGTCCTTGAATACGGCGTTCATACGTAAAGTTGGTGAACACAAAAGCGATAACTAGGACATTATTATAAATCAGCCATTCATACAATCGGATGTCATGTCATGTTTATACGTGTTTTACTGAAGGTGATTAGCGGCAACCGAGTGACAGGCCTAGCGGGTCTCGAAGGCAGTAGTTGTGTCAGTAGTTTTTTTATTTGCGTCCGTGTTAAATTTAAATCATAATTTTGTCTGCTGTAATAATAGACTTATAAATCTTAGATACAAAAATTAATAGCGTATGTACAGGCACTGACAATCAGCAGCGGAAGTGTTCATTCTGACAAAAAACTTCGTGGCTTTAGTCCGCAAGCGAGCTATACCGACCGAGCGACCGCCGCTTGTTGACGAAGTTAGTGCCAACTTTAGCGGATAGAGGGTATCGCGTGTTCAGCGCAACGAATCCCCACGGCAGTTAATTTCGGTTTTCTAGACCGGAGCCACTGCTTTTCCATTCAAATAGCTCCTCAATTACCCTCGCGAGGCTGAGTGGACCCCGTTCCAAACCGACTACTTCTCAGAAAATATGGTAGCGCCGGGACTCGAACTCGGGATCTGTAGCCAGGAACTCTAACCATTAGACCACAGAGGCGGACTGTTCATTCTGACTTGTATGTCAAGTATTACGACGAAATTTATTTGTGGAGCCCTCGTGAAAATACGGATAAATAAGAAAATAGACTTTACCGGCCCTTAACAATAATCCTTCCTGCCATCCGTAGCCATGCAGTTACTCAACGCCATATGACCTGTGTAGCTGATAACCAGTTAACTACGTAACTAAGTAATTAGGTTTCAGATAGCGGAACCTGAAGTTGAACACTTTTACCACCAAAACCCACAATTTGACAGGATTCTGAGCCAAATTCTTTCACCTCCTAACCTCACAATATATTTCCCCCTAATTATATCTGCGTGCTATCTTTCCATTAATGTCAGACTCAGTGGCCGCGCCGTCTATTCGTCCGCTCAAACACTGGAGTCGTGGGTTCAAATCCCACTCTAAGCATGGATGTGTATATGGTTCATTCTGTGTTTCTGTTCTGTATGTAGATAGCGGCCTTCCGACGGGCAGATCACTCATCCAAGGAGTCCTACCGTCTGTGTAAATAAGATAACGAAACTTAAGGAGAGGCCAAGGCCCAACAAAGGGCTGTAGAACCACTGATGAATGAATGAAAAGTTGTTTTAGTATTTGTTATGGGGAACGGTAATGCAAATTCCATATCACAGATTAACAGAATCAGAAATGGAGTACTCCATAATGTAATACGTAAAACTTCCAATGGCGTTCTTTGCAGTTTATTAAACTTACATGCAGCCTGTGATTAAAAGTTTATGATATAAATGAAAAAGTCGTATATGGCTTTAATATGGATCAATGTATAGACACAATAGATCGCTGTGGTCGCGGTGCAAGGGCCAAGAAGGCCCACCCCTCATACATTCATGGATCAATCTAGATGAAAAACGAAGTAATAGTTTTGGTGAAAGTATCATACACATCCCATGGCCTGGGCGCTGATAGTAGGTCGCAGACGGATGGACGAGCGGACAGCCTTTGCCACTGCGTCCTCACATGCCCGAAGAATTTGATCATGAAAAAAGATGATCTCACTATTTGACTATTTTACACGTTTTCAGTGTACCTGAGTACGAAAGATTGTTTTTTCTTTAAATACCGTCTGTATGTACGTGCGCCTCGTTTGAGCCTCAACGATTGCACGGATTTTATTGCTGTTCAGTATTTGAGAGTTTATCCACCTTAGGTCGATCTCCGATTTAAAAAAAATAGGAGCCCTTGTCATAGGCCGCAAAGAACAAAATATCAATTTTCTTGAAAATGGTTGTAACTATTCTAACTAAATTTTAGTAGTTTTTGGAGATCCTTTTCCTAAATGAAACTGTGATAAACGGTTAAAGAAAGATAAAGTTGTCCATGTGCTTAATTAATCAAGCATTATGCCATGAAGGCGTATGGAGAAGTGGATGTATAATCCCCATTTTCTTGACCTCGGCACTAGCTGCTTCACTCCCCGGCCGCTTTGTCGCCAGTACCCATTAGATAGGAGGTTGGGTGGATCCCAGAGCCGGTCTTTACGACGTGAAGTAGAGAAAATTCTTGACCCTACTGGTACTCGAACTCCGACCGCCCGGTCGTCCAGCCCGTAGTCCACCGCTATACCGACTGCGCTATCCCGGCTCTTGTGATAAGTGGTATCTTCAGGAAAATAACGGAATATCCTCCATATGCAGTATTTTTGCACTGATTGTTTTTTTAATGAGCCGAAAACTAAGGAAACCAATAAACAAACATTCCTTCTGTAATGACACTTCGGAGTTTACATTTGCCACCACTTAACTGAATACTTGCTGCATATTTCGCGAGAGCCAATAATTTACAAGAATGTCCTTACCAGCAAGGAGGATGAGGTGGGCAGGTCATGTAGCACGAATGGGGGAGACGAGGAACGCGTATAGGATATTGGTGGGAAAGCCAGAAGGAAAGAGACCACAGGGAAGACCAAGGCGTAGGTGGGTGGACAATATTAGAATGGATCTTAGAGAGATAGGATAGGATGGTATGGACTGCATAGATCTGGCTCAGGATAGGGACCAGTGGAGGGCTCTTGTGAACACGGTGATGAACCTTCGGGTTCCCTAAAATGCTGGGAAATTCTTGAGTAGCTGCACAACTGGCGGCTCCTCAAGAAGGGCTCAGCTCCATGAGTAAGTAAGTAAGTCCTTACCAGTAAGCTGTGGTACAGTTCGGTTTACCGCAGCAGAAAGCACACCGCCACATGCCTCTCTCCTGGCGATCACTACAAACCACACCGACGGCACTCAGATACTGTACTGAGAATACAAAGCCTTGCGTTCTATTCACTCGGTACCCTGCTATTTGCCAGCAATGCCAGGGACGGCGTACCTGACAGCAGGCTGACTATTCTTGGTGTAACTAGCACATGACATTGATATCCTATCACGAACTATGCTTGTTTATTGCGTGCTTATAACCTTTCAAGAATATGTTTGTTGAAGTTCTCGCACGTGTGCCTGTGAACGGTACAGCCTCCTGGGTTGCGACGTCAAGTGGTTTAGAAGTTCACCGACGTTTCGAAGAAACGTACCGACTCCGTCTTCAGGGTCGAAACGTCGGTGAATTTATACCAATCAACAGAAATCACATCCCGCAAGAGTGTGCTGTTAATGATTTGTTCTCCTCATTTCAAGTCCAGCTCTTGATTATGAAATTTATTTTCATTAGATTATTGGGAGGTGATTGCTGTGATAGGAAGTATGAATGGTTCTTAAGCTTCAGCCATTTCGCACCTATTCTAGTGATTGTTAAATTTGTCTTAAATTCTCAAACAAGTTTTTATATTGTAAGATTTGAGGCATTCACGGCGGTGACTATGAAGAAAGCAGTCTTCTGGGATTTGGCACCGTGTATATGTGATGTTAACCGACGTTTCGGAGGAACGTAGCGCCTCCATCTTCAGGGTAGAAGAAAAAATATAAGAAATCTGCAAGCGAAGAGACCGTGAGAACCGGTAAAAACAGACTGGTCTGCTTTTACCGCGATATGTTCCTCCGAAACGTCGGTTAACATCACATATACACGGTGCCAAATCCCAGAAGACTGCTTTCTTCAAGTTTTTATATTCTTTAGCGTAAGACAGATTCAAACTTCAGCATTGAGCAGGTTGGTGTAATGTCTCAAGACTTGAATTTATGAGGTATCCCGTTGGAATTGCAGCTGGATACCACACTATCCTGAATGAGATTTTCAGCTTTTGTCATATAACCCCCCCAAAATAAAAACCTGCTAGAATGGTACCTTGAAATGAGCTATAACAGAATTCTAAATATTTGCCTTTTTACCAACCTCACCTTCCAGTCATATTTGACATGTGTAACTTTTGCAATAAAAATTTGTTCTTAAATAACTGAACAGTCAGTCAACCACACATGGGCCCACACTTGTGAGATGGAGATCTGGAGACATCTCAATTCATGTAGGCAGTGAAACTACATAAAATGGTATGAGTTCGTTAAAGCCTCCATGATATGAAAAAATGACAAGTAATTATGAACAGCATTCATGTTTAAGTATTATTCTTGTAATGATACTATCAGTAAAGAGGTGGATCTGAGATAGTGCATTCGGTATAGCGACTGGCTGGACAACCAAGGGGTCAGAGTTCGAGTCCCGGTGAGGGGGCAAGAATTTTCTCTTCTCCAAATCGTCCAGACTGGCTCTGGGGACCACCCAACTTCCTATCCAATGGGTACCAGGGGCTCTTTCCCAGGGGGGAAAGAGGCAGGGGCGTGATGCTGGCCACTCACCTCAAACTAGTGGCAAGGTCAAGAAGCTGTGGATCTATACATCCACTCCCCCATACACCTTCATGGCATAGTGCTTAATTAGTTAAGCACAGGAACAACTTTACCTTTATCAGTAAAGAGGTAAAGTTGTCCTTATACTTAATTATTTACGCACCACGCCATGAAGACATATTGAGGGAGCGGAGGTATACTTCCACCATTCTTGACCTTGGCACCTAGTGGAGGTGAGTGGTCAGCTTCATACCATGGCCACAAATTTTGGCTTTATATGTTGAATACCAGGATTATCATTAATGACTGGAAAGGACATGGAAGAGATAAGCGGTCTTCGCCTGATTTTAGGTATCATTTTGGCATTTGCCTTGACAGACGAAAACCACTAAAAACCTCAGGCAAGAGAGCCACTCTGTGAACACAAGGACCTCCCAAATATGAAGCGGGTACGCTACCACAACACTGCAGCATTTGGTTCACTTGGGTAGAAAATAATTCACGAGACCCAGTTGACTAGGATTAGAGTACAGAATGTGAGAGATATAGATGTCATGATTTATTATAAAGTACAGAGCAAGTTTTGAATTCAAATTGTACAAAGGGTGAATGGATTTGTTTGGAGTTCACCTTTTCCAGATGTATTCTTTTTTGATTTCGCATACAACTTTGTTCTTGATGTTCCTTTACTGCAGACAGCAATCTATAACTGGAAAGCTGATAAATAGCACAAATATAACACTGTCAGTCTGTAGGTCTGCAAGTCTTATCTCTGAATCTACAAAGTGGATTCTGATTAAATTTAATATTTGCCACAACAGTTACTTTTTGTCCCAGTTGTTCAAATATAGTCCTTACTCTTCATCAACCTGAACTCAACTTTATAACATTTTGTACAAAAAATTGATATGTGATACAAAATATACAAAACAAACTCCATGATTTTACTCTGCAAGCGAACTATACCGACCGAGCGACCGCCACTTGTCGGCGAAGTTTAGTGCCAACTTTTGCGGATAGAGGGTGTCGCATGGTCAGCACAACGAATCCCCACGGCTGTTAATTTCGGTTTTCTAGGCGGGAGCACTTCTCTCTCTTGTGAAGTCTCCTCAAGCCATACTGTCCTTTCGGTTTTGAATGCATTACTTTGTTGGTTGTGGTATTTTGTGAGGGCAAGAAGCAGGCTAAGTACTGATGATGCAGTACTTAACAATGAAGTGTCCACGATGACTTACACAAACAGCATTGCAAACAGTCAAATCAGATTCATGAAATGCTCAAGGTTAAAACCCAACAAGAAAAGGTGTGCACACTTGAGGTGTCACTCTGAACGTGGTGGAAGACAAAACTGTCTGCAGCAATCATCACTACAAACTAATACTGTCCACCCTGTTACTATTAAATTTACTCTATCAGCCATTCACCAGGATTCGAAATTTTAAATTAAACTAATTTTCTAAAAATTAAAAAGAAGTGATTTTTATTGCAGGTAATCTTTCACTAATAATAATATTTGTTTTTCATAACACTGTTCTATTGTATGTAATAAACTGCTACAATTACTTAAAATGACTGGTGTGTAAATGGATATGTTCCATTCTAATTTCTAACAAATGCCAACTCCTGTGTGAATCCACAATCTGACCAGATAAAACTCGATACCTGTGAAGGACACCCTGAACAAGTTTCATGCAAATTGCTACCCATCTGAAACTCTCTTTGAACCTTTATTTCATCCTAAATCCAAATTAAACTCTGAGGATTTGAGGTGCTCACAACGGTGGTCATGAAGATTTATATCTTCTGGGGTATAACACTGTGTAGTCCATTGAAAGTCAACCAACATTTCAGAGGAACATACAATCTACATCTTCCTCTGACTGTCACATGCTATCATGCTGGTTTTTTGCGTGGCTAATTTATTCAACCCTGAAGACTGAGATGACTTGTTACTTCGAAACATTGGTCAACTTTCAATGGACTATATGGCATTATAAACTAGAAAACAGAACACTTTACATAAATTAAAACACAATGACTGAGGGATGTGTATGGGATTTGTACTAGGTTCCAGCCATATTGTAACAACTTTCATTACAAACACTTCAACAGAAGCATATAAATATCTTACGATTCACTGACACTGAAATCAGGTCCTAACAATTCTTAAATACAACATACAAACAAACTGAAATGAAAGTTTCGTAGAAGGATGATAAAATGACATAATTTAGTGGTGAACTTTAAAGTCACTAAAAGAATAACTATCTATAAATTTTTCATTTCTAAATTCAGCCTTTTCAATTCTGGAGTGTGGGCTCCCAGTTTCTTTCAACCAGCGTTTCCTGTAACAAAACCACAAATTCATAACTAGCATTTCTACAGCAGAATTCAATATTAAAGTACACATACATGAAATAGTTTATTTTTGGTTATGTAATGACTCTGTAACAACTACAAAGGTAAAATGTTTATTTAACAAACTGTGTATAGGCAAGTGTCTGAAGAAGAAAGAGGTGGTGTATTTTCAGCTTTTGCATGGAGAGATTGAGGAAAACTATGAGAAATATCAGACTGTCATTAAACTGGCAAATATTACTAGAGGAAAGGAAAAGAACACTGTATTTTAAATTGTAAATTATGTTGATACAGTTAATGGACCGCCTCTCTGGTCGAGTGGTCAGAGGTTCCAGGTTTGATTCCCAGCACTACCAGATGTTCTGAGAAGTAGTGAGTCTGGAATGGGGTCCACTCAGCCTCATGAGGATAATTGAAGAGCTATTTCAAGGAAATAGCAGCTCTGGTCTAGAAAACCGAGATTAACGGCCGTGGGGAACTGTTGCGCTGGCCACAAGACACCCTCCATCCGCAAAAGTTGGCACTAACTTCGCCGACAAGCGGCAGTGGCTCGGTCGGTATAATTTGCTTGCGGACCACAGGCCACAGAGTTTGTTTTGATACAATTAATGTAAAAGAAAATTAAAAGCAAAATCAGTCCTGACATTCACACCAGAAACAGGACTTGTGAGGTATAAAAATATAAGGACCACTAGAAATGAGATTCCGTAAACCATTTTCTGGTCTTTCATTATGAGATAGTGTAGAAAATGAAATGATTAGAGAAAAGTTATAGGAAACCAGCACAGCAAGTAATATTGCAGTTGCAATGACAAGTGCATGTCTAATGGATGCATGGGCCAATTCAAAATTGTGGATACTGCAATTAATAAAAATGAATCCTACTGATTTTGGTGCTTTGTGTAATACTTTCCCCATCAGCTGAACCAATCTTGACACCACAGAAAACAATATAAATATTCACATAATTTACACAAACTTTCCCGTTGATTTCATAAGACCTTGTTATAAGCTACTTACATTTCTTTTACCTTCACTGGTTCACCTTCTACTTTTCCCAGCACAGTCCCACGATGAGTGTTCATACACCACCCTCGTATCCCTAACTGCCTCCCTTTCTCTACTGTATGCTGTAAAGATAATTACAGAAATTACTTTGAACAAAAATATCACTTGTCATATCAAAATTCAAAATGATTTTATTAACTGATTTATGCAGTTAATCAAAATAACAGAAGCTCATGTACTTTAGCACATTGAAGCTCATCTTTTCAGGTAGAGGAAAATACACTGTGGCCGTGATTATTTCTGGAAAAAACCTACACCTAATGCTGTACAGTTATTGACATTTTGAACATTATCAATCATCATGTTTTTATTGGAAAAAAAGAAACGTTTTCCAGAGCCTGGGCTCTGTATCCATCCTCAGGCCTACTCATTGGTAACAATCGATACAGCTAGTCGCTATTAAATTAAAAACAGTATGACAAATATGTCTGAAAAGTCATTAACTGCATTAATATACCATTGTCACGAACTTCTGGATCATGTTTACATAACCAATATGGGCCTGGTATGTTTCTGAAGTTTAGGAAATCTGAACGTGTTCAGATCCAGCTGGCTAAGACTTCCAGTCATTTTACTTTCTTACAAAATGTAGAGTTCATGATAATGTTCCCAAAGGCCTTATACTGAAAGCACCATACCACAGCCATAGTTCTTCTAAAATAACTTTACAAGCCAACAAGGCCCTGTTAAGAGACAGGACTCAGTTCTGTTTCAAAAAGGCTACACTGGGCAAACAAATCGATGATCTGGAAACTTTCTTCCATATGTCAATAAATTCGTCAGATCAACTCTGCATCCGGGCAGCTGTGGAAACAAACATCATTTTCTTAACTAGAAGGAATTCCAGATTAAAAAATTCTCAGCTCAGAAAATCTATCTCGATCCCGAAGAAGGTCCACATGGGGACTAGCTCTACTGTTTGGGCCCAACTGAATAGGCTCTTATGTCAGAGTGAAGACAAGAGTCCAGTCTCAAAAATGCTGTTTGCTTAAATAAAAACCAGGCTGATAATGCCTAGGAAGTCAATTACTGTATTAATATACCATTATCACAAACTTTTCAGTCATACTTAATAATGTACTGACAAGGAAGATTAGTTCTATAAGCCAATTTTCAGTGTGTCCCAGCATTATATGGAGCTGTACTGTAAGCAAAAGCTACTCAGCTGAAGTTCTTAAAATATATGAACTCTGTCTGGGCAGTTAACTTGAGATAATTACAGCATAATTAACATGAAGCTCGGTAAACCTCTTGAAAATGTAGCTACTGTGTTCACTAAGAAAGAGATGACAGGATCATATGAAAATGAAGCTTAAGGAAAGAGATATGAAATTCTGGGTCAAATGATGGGTTCTATTTTTAACAATGCAAAACCTTTGGATTATATTACTAACGAAATATCTTAAAATCTTCAGGCAGTTGATTGCATGCTACCTAACTGAATTTTGCAAAAAAAAAGGACTAGCAAAAACTTTAAAGAAAAAAAAACTGTAGTAAGGACCATAAATAAACTTAACAAACCTTTCTGAAGAAGACACCTGAAAGAAAACAAATATCGATTAGAATCTGTTCTGTTCATATGTGTATTTGCTTTATTTCCTTCGTGAAATTAATACTTACTGTTGAGTTTGGAGTGAAGATCGTTTGGAATTAGAACAGGGTAATGTGTGACTTAAGAACAGAGGACAAAGGTCAGAAGTACACTAATTACTGAGGGTCACACACAAGGCTTCAATGTTTCAATCGTTTCACATGTGGAAGAGTACTACATTCTGGTAGAACTTCGCTGATGTTTCAGAGGGACATACTGCCTCCATCTTCAGAGTTGAAGAGTATACCAAGCAAGTAACAAGCACACACGCATCTTATTTTTTGCCTGCTTGGCTGACTCTATGACCCTGAAGATGGAGGCAGAATACTCTTCCAAAAGGTCAGTTAACTTCTTCTATCAGTACACATGGTGCCACATTCTGAAAGATAATTTTCTTTATTTTTCACTCATGGGAAAACATATATCAAATAACTAGTGACCTTTTTTTGGTAGCAGATGGTAACAATTATGACTTAATGTATGTTACATCATGTGAATGCATCAGTAGTTTTGTGTCCAGCTGTCCTTGCAACCATTTGTTTCATGGCTGAAGTAAATGTTCTATTGTTGCAGTGTTTGTCAAAAAGAAATTTTCTGAGATCTTTCAAGAAGACTGTGGGAAGAACCTCAGAAAAACTATGAGTGGTGTTTGGTGACTGTATTTAAATGAAACCCTTCATGAAGTCTGTCAAGACAACTCTTAATAGAATTTAAATTACTTCATGCAGATATCAAAGACGAACAAAATTTGACCCATTTTACAGCTATTTTATATCTTGAGATAACAATACTCATGGAAAACATATTTAAACTACGCATGATATTTTGCACACATCATTATTATGTGTGACAGCAACTACGCCACATTTCATTGAAATAAGAGAAGGTATAGTTGAAAATTATACTTCACTGTATTGATATGACATCGAACCGAAGCCTGTGCAGCTGATGCTATTCCCACTTTATATTCCGCAGGAACAGAGTTCAAAAAAGTCTCAAACCAGATCACGGCAAGTTATTCGCAGGTCCACGCCTTCCGCATACCTTCCAATCGCCATTCATCATTTTGGTACAGAACTTACGCAGATGATATAACATTGAAATTAAATTAATACGAAAATATTCATTCTAAAAAAAGAATGTCGTTCTTGAGTGTTCTTGAGGATATCCTATGAAACTAAGAGTGTAAAAAGAATTCTTATGACGTCCACTGAAGATACTTATTTACCTTGTACTGTACCAAAGACTTCGAATTCTAAAGATATCAATTTATTTTCTGCAGACATGCCTCTTCCTAACCAGCCGCTTAAACACAAAATTTTTGTTTAACGAGTCAATAAACAAACGCTCTTAACGACATCCGTTACGAAAATTTCCACTAGATGTCACAAAAATTCAACTTGTAGCTAAAAAGAACAGACATGGTTAAGCCAATTGGAATTGGAATTGGAATGTTATGGTAATAGTTCCTATATTGGTTACCAGAGGACATACGCGTGTCCCATATCTAGTTTATCCGTGCGTATATACTGGTACTACTGGTATATACGACGTGGTCGAGACACGTATCACATGGTATCGAAGATCGAAGGATGGAGAACGGTAGATAATCCGTAGCGATCCGTGGACTGGCGGAATACAGTCTGCATCGGTCTGTATTTCGTGTAAGCAAAGCTTTAGCATTTCGTCAGTCATCTCAGAGATCTCAGACATGGCTGGAACAGTATGTGCTTGGTGGTGCAGCGTGTGCTTCTAGTGTTTGTTTATGTTTGCTTCGTGTTTTAGATCTCACTCTCAAATGTCAACTTGAAATCATAATGATGGTTGCAATGACAGCTATGCTCGTGTCCGTTGCAGAACTGTCAAATATATTTTCGGTGTTGGTAGTGTTGATATGTTTCTGTGCGATGGTGTTATTCATAATGCGGTAAGCATACAGTCGGTTATATATGTGTGCATATTTTAGTGTTGCCAGTATTGATTTATATTAAAATAAAGATCTGCGGAGGAGATTTATTAACGTCGGAGTCGAGGGGGCGAAGGACTCCTTTGTGTTCAAAAGGACCCCGTTTCAGATTCATTCATTCTTTTATTAATCCTGTAGATCATGATAGAATGATATAGGACAAGTCTTTCAGCTAGTATACATTATTAAATTACAACAATCTTAATACTAAAAATTTATAATAGATATCCAACATTTTATACATTATATACTTCTGCTTATATCAGTAGCCAATATTCGAGAATTCATATTTGAAATAGACCTCCGTTGAGTAATAGCACCTCTGAATAAGTAACTTCTTCTATTCCCTTGACAACTGATCTAGGCTTAGTGACCGGCTCTCCTGACCGACGTTTTCCGTGGGTTTCCCACGCACTATGGGAAAATTCCGTAAAGGTATCTTATCTGATTCCACAACGGTTATCTTTAATTCGTAATTCACGAACTATCCGACCATTCAACACTATATAATAGTCTGACCTACTGTCAGCGTTATTAAATAAATAACTTGATGTGACTGCAATAGTAGTCTCTTCCGGGAGTGCAGTTATAGGTTTTGATAAATGGAATGAATGACCCAAAATTTATGTACTGGACTGACACAAGAGATTCGTTTCATTTTTGGGCTTTACAGGATTTGGTGAACACTTAGAAATTTTCTTTAGGCCAGTAGAAATTTGAACAAAAGTTTCAGCTTCATCTGAAAAGTAATAACTACTTAAGATAAGTACCTACTTACCAAACTGCATTACATCACATGCCACAACACCCTAATTCTTAATATACACCTCCATGAGAATAAAAAATCTAATAAAATAATCATTTGATTAATTTTTAGTGCTTGAAGATAATGAAAATAAAGTTAGGAGAATAAAACATTTCTTTTTTGTGTGTAATCAGTGTTATTCATGAATTGAATAATAAAATTAAGTCATGAAGAACATGTACTAAGCCAGGATTCAAAATAATGTTTCATGTGTTTGCCCAGACAAAAATTTTCAAGACATTCATGATACTGAAGTTTGAAGTCATTAGATATCATCATTATGATCAAAATAGTTGTAGGATCTGAGATTTTCACAGCAGTGGTTATAAAGAGGTTCATCTTTTGGAATAAAATGCTCTGTAATCTCTTGAAAATCAACCGATGAGCTCTCCTTGTTAACTGCTTCATACTACATAGCTGCTTGCTTGGATTATTCTTCAACCCTAAAGATGGAGACAACGTGTTCCTCTGAAACATTCGTTGACTTTCAGCAGACTACACAGGCTTATATTCCAAAAGGTATAACTTTTCAAAACTTGTGGATATTATGTTTATTGTTGATATTAAAATAAATGTGCTAAGTGCTCTAAAGAAAGCTTAAAAATTCTGGTTGTAAATAATTTTCTTCACTTAGTGCCAGTGCCTAAATTCCAAAGAAAATATTGCAGTCAGGAGGAACAGCCAAGGACCTGATTAGAGGTTGACAGAGGCTGAAAGTTGTGATAATGTGCTAATTTATCAGCTGTCAGGGGTGACTAGCAGAATAGAACCAAAATTATTTGATAGAAACTTTCTGCATTAGCAATTTTTTGTGCCACAAATCCCTGACAGATTGTCCTGGGATTGAATCTGGACTGAGAAACTGATATGCAGCTCTTTTAGTTGTAGGCAAGTTGGTAGACAGGCACTGTATTCCATGGATCCTGTAGTGCAGACAAGTCAGAGAACAAACACAAGGCAAGGTAAGGTTGGCCATGTGTTTAGGTAATTAAGCACTACGCCATGGAGACGTATGGGGAAGTGGATGTATAGATCCTCATACTCTTTCTTGACCTCGGCACTAGCTGGAGGTGTTTACACCCATGGAGCCCCGGAATCAGTCTGGATGACATGGAGAGAAGAGAAATCTTACTCCTGCTGGGACTCTTTGATACTTTGGCCTTCCAGCCCATAGCCAGTCGCCATACTAACTCCTCTAACCTAGCTCTAATTTTAAATAGTAAAAAATTACTCATAATCAGCTCTTAGACAGCATTTTTAAAGTTCCATTTCCGGTTGACAGGCTTAATGTTAGCTGCAGTCTAGGGTTGTTACACTGTGTAGTGGCAGGCAATGTTACCAACATTTCACAGGTACTACATGCTGTTGCAACCTTCAGGGTTGATGGGGCGGCATGTACATCTGGAATATTGGCAACATCACCGACAACTACACAGTGTAACAACCCAAGAACAGAATTAACATCAGTAATTAGCCACTGTGAAAGCCTAAAATCAGTAATTGACCAACGGCTATTAATTATGTAAAGTTTACAAATTCATTAGCAGTAGAAGTTGTGTAAGAAAAGGAATAGGAGTTGTTTTCTTTGAATGGATAGCATTTTAGTTGATACTGTAAGATTCTGAGGAGGCTGTATAACACACAGAGATACTGGGCTTTCGGACTTGTCCATCGTCCGGATTCTAAATAACTAAGAAAAACACGACGTTTCGGAAACTGGATCTGTTTCCGTCCTCAGGTGAGGGAAGACACCTGCTCTGTTGGGTCCCTTAGAAAGGGCTAGCCTCAATCACTGGACCTAGGTGTCTTCCCTCACCTGAGGACGGAAACCACAAATCCCACTTGATCAGACCCCGGGATCGAACCCGGGCCGCCGCGGTGGTAAGCTAGCGACTAACCGTTTCTGCTATGGCGCTGCCTATTTCGGTCAGAAAGACAGTTTAATGATTACGGTCATTATGAAATGTAAGTTGAAAGTCTTGATAAAGCCATTTTTTTCCTCCAGATTTTCATTTCCCCCCCCCCTTCCCCCTATTGGCTCTTCCAGCCCATTCGGGGTCCTGGCCTCTTATTTAGTTCTTTCACAGACGGTAGGGCTCCTTGGACGAGTGATCAGCCCGTCGCAAGGCCGCTACCTAAACACAGTTCAACACAGGCACATAATAAACGCATACACACACACCAAACATCCATGCCTTGAGTGGGATTTGAACCCACGATCCCATTGTCCGAGCAAGCGAAGACAGTTCATGTCTTAGACCGCTTGGCTACTGTGACCGGCCCACATTTCCAAATTACCTTTCGTAAATAAGAAAAATCAATAGTATGATTCATTGGAAGTTTTTGTTACTATGTGTTGTGTCATGAGTTGGAGCTGTATGGTTTTGAAAACTAATATTTATTTATAGAGGTAACATACGCAAATGGGATAGAATGCCAAATTTGGGGCCGTGCGTTTGGTTATTTTGCTTCTGGAATAGGTGTAGAAATTTCAAGCACAGAATCGCTATTCTTGAAGGGTTTTAATGAAGCCAATGCTGTGACCGGATTAGTAAATCAGGTATGATTTGTTTCATTGTGGCCCGTCACACTATCAGTATCATAAGAGGTTAAACAGTTCCGTCCAGTGTGACTAATAAAGATTTTTCTTATTTCAATCCTTCATCTCTTACAGACAATCCTCAGAGGGACATCAGTACAATGTTTAATGTTTTACAACCGCTGTAGTTAAAACATTTGATTCTGTACCCAGTGTACTTTGTCAGCACTGTATGTATGTATCTTGGCATTCAAATACATACAGTAATAGTGGCTTCCGATCTGTTGATGTCCCTCTGAGGATGGTCTGTAAAGACCGAAGAAACATGTAAGGGATGAAGGATTCAAATAAGAAATTTTTTACTAGTTACACTGGACAGAACTGTTTAACTTCTTATGAATCAGATATGTTTTGTGTTAGGTTTATCTTTGAAGAAGGGACACGCGGTAGCATGGTTGGTCGAGGCACTGTGCTACAAGCCGGAAGGTCGCGGGATCGAATCCCGATGAGGTGGATTTTTTTCAATTTACCTAATCCTCCCAGCCGCACTATGGCCCTGGGGTCGACTCAGCCTCTAACAAAAATGAGTACCAGAAATATTCTTGGGGGTAAAGGGCTGCCGGCGCGTAAGGCTGACAACCTTACTGCCATCTATGAGCCGATTGTCTAGAAAATATGGGAACCTCAACATTTCACAACCCTATGGACCTTCGTGGCCTGTTACAGGGATACCTTTACTTTTTTACCTACTTTTGAAGTCCTGTGATGACCCTCAAGATTGATTTAATTTACATACCCGCACATGTGATGTTGACACTTGTTTTCACATCTCCAAACGTGTATGTTTTGACTCAGTGACACTTCTGAGTCAATGTTTTAACTCATGCTGTTGATCTCAGCTACAAATCTTTCCTGTCTACTGAAGTTTCACACAGTATAGCGTTTACATAGCCGTGGAAATAACACTAAACAACAAGGTTCTGGCATTGAAGAAAAACTATCTGGATTGTCATATACTGATCCCAGAGCTGAACACAGCGAAATTCTATCGTGACGTAGTTCTGTATAGTTTAGAGCCGAAATACATATTTTTCACTTAGGTACTTTTTCCTTGTAAATCATGTTAGAATTTGATATTTTGTTAGTGAATAAAAGTTTATTCCCATTTATACAGCGTATTTCAAATTTTGTTAATAAGTGAAATGTACATTTACTCGCATATGTCTGCATACAAAACAGAGGTTAACAAAAACAAGTGCATAGTACAACTCTTTGATGGTTGTTTTTGTGATTAGAATTGTCGAAAACAACGGCGGCACAACGAGAAGAGGTCCCCATAATGATACCGGTCGGAGAGACAATGGCCTGCCGAGAAATGAAGACACATTCAGAAGAAGAAGAGCCGGCCTCAGTGGACAGGAAACCTGAGGCGGCAGAACTACGAGAGGTACGCGTACAAGACGCCGAAGTAATGCCGGTCGGAGAACCGAAGCAGAAAAAGCATAGGGACCGAAACAAGCGACGAAATACGAAAAATTCGACACTGGAAAATTGCGGACCCCAGAAGAAGTTGGCCGTAGCCCGCAGAGGGACGAGCCGCCGTGCTAAGTGGCACTGCAGAAGAAAACCGGCAGGAAGGTGTCCCGCCGTGCAACAGTGGCATGGCTCAAGAGGAATATCTTGAGGAATTCTTCGACACAAATAAATTGTGAACCTCGGAAAGAAGTGACCGCCACCGTCATGAAGATTACAGAGGAGAATAGAGGTTGGCAGTATCCTGAATGCAACACTGGCATAAGGGACAGAGGTCTGGAACAGGGACTGCGGGTCAGCAACCAATGGAAGGACCCAACCAAGAACGCCATCGGAGGGTGTAGATCAGGACAGCGATCGCACCTAAGAGGGAGAAGTACTCGTAAGAAGACCTTCTAGGAGATCGCCGTTAGGAAGATCGCTAAGCAAATTGCCGGATCTTCCTTCGGATTACGAGGAAACAAGGATTGGACTCGACACCAATACTTACTGACTGACTGACCATCAGTCGCAATGTAACTCTGACTCTGACGAAGAGAGTTCTCAAGTTCTCAAGGCAGCAGTTCACGAGTTAGCCAGCAGTGAGTCAGCTGTCCATCTTTCGTCGGAGTATTTGTGATGCTGCCAATGGCAGTAATTGTGTGATTATAAGGGCGAGTGGAATCAATTCGCTATATCCAAGACGGCGTGAAGTTATTTGTCGCGTTATACACCCAACACGTGACAGTATTTTATATATAGTGTCTCGTGTTGCCTATGTAACACGACAAATAAATTCACGCAGGTCTCGGATTTGGCGAATATGTTTATTGAACGCTCACTTTTACACTAGCGAGTACAATTATTATCACGATGTAAGATTTGAGGCTTTCACGGCGGTGACTATGAAGAAAGCAGTCTTCTGGGATTTGGCACCGTGTATATGTGGTGTTAACCGACGTTTCGGAGGAACGTATCGCCCCCATCTTCAGGGTAGAAGAAAAAGTATAAGAAATCTGCAAGCGACAACACCGTGAGAAACGGTAAAGCAGACTGCAGTTCCTCCGAAACGTCGGTTAACACCACATATACACGGTTCCAAATCCCAGAAGACTGCTTTCTTCAATTATGATCACAATTACTGCTTCTGCTGTAGCCACGGCGGAACTGAAGACTGACTGCTCTTCAGTTGCAAACTGAACCGTTCTTCGCAACTTCTAGAACTCAACTGTGAACTGTCTAGTCTGAGTTTGAGTCTCATTTTACGACCGACGGTCAAACGGTCAGTCTGTCTTGGCATAAAGCACCCATATGGGGCTTGCGACCAGATCCTTATTACTGTTTGACAGTTACGGTCTTGTGTTTTGTGGGCGCACACTCTGACGAGAGGACGGGTCTGTCTTTTGTGTATGCTGCTGGCCAGCGCAGTCTTTCTCGGGTCCGAGTCCCTTGGTACTCGAGACCATATATTACAGTCTCAAATTTGAGACTTCCCTTTTCGTCGCCTCCTACGACTCGCAGGGTCACGGTGGAGGTATTCGAACGCGCCTCCTAACGGGTCTGGTTTCGGCCGTAATACAGCGCACCATGTAGGAGCCTTTGGTCTCGGCCGCTGTTATGCAACGAACCCTCTGTTGTCCTTTCATCTCCGGGTAAACGTGTGTTACTTAAGGTATATTCCTAGGCAACGGCCCACTGTTATTGCGTTTCCATGGAAGTAGACCAGCACGCGACAGTATTATAAAAACTGAAAATTTGTATCTAATCAGGAGCACAAGTGGTGTTGTATTGAGTAGCGAATCTTCAAAGTAAGTTTGCAGTACAATTCTGTGTTGTATTGCTCGAAAATAGACTGACGAGTTACAGTATTATTAAAGGTAGTTGTGGAAATGCTGGTCAGAGGTGTACCTCCTACTAAGGGCTCAGGTTCTGACAATGTGCTAGTTAAGTTGGACATTTGCACACCTCAAGGGTACTGATAAATGTATGCAAGGTACAGTGGAATGATGATTGGCTGAGAAAATGGCAAGTGGCCTGTAGTCCGTAAGCGAACTATATCGACCTAGCGACCGCCGCTTGTCCGCGAACTTAGTGCCAACTTTTGCGGATAGAGGGTGTCACGTGGTCAGCGCAACAGATCCCCACGGCCGTTAATTTCGGTTTTCTAAACCGGAGCCGCTGTTTCCTTGAAATAGCTCCTCTGTTATCCTCACGAGGCTGAGTGGATCCCTTTTCGAGACCCACTACTTCTCAGAAAATGTGATAGCCCCGGGAATCGAACCCGGGACATCTGGATCTGTAGCCAGGAACTCTGTCCACTAGACCATATTCATCTAACATAATATAGGCTGAGACACTCGTAGGAGATGCCGAAGTAATAATTATAAACCACGCAATAATTTACCGATAAAAACGAAACTTGGCATATACATGCCTTGGTAGACGTAGAAACGACTGGGATACAGAAGATATTGAAATTGGTTTCCTTCCACCCTGAGACGCAGGCCGACACGACTCCTCGTGTTATCAGTAATTATTTCGCCGTGTAACACGTGAAATCAGACTAAAGGAAATGGTGCGAACCAGGCAGGCACCGACCCAGTGTTGCAAACTGTTGCCAAGTTTCGTGTTCCTCTGTAAATTATGAGTTCTGGGCATCATCCAAGTGAATCAACCCGTATAAAGCCACACGTGAACGTTTCTCTGTGTCCCGTAGACCGTTTCACGTACATTGTTAAGATTGTGTATGGGAGATTTCCACAAAGATTTTCTGCGGAAATTCCAATTTCCAGCCATACCGATCCGTAATTAATCCTAGTTAGCATAATACTATGAACAGAACTTTCCATTTATCTCATTTTCACCTCCCACTCTGTTTTAGTTTCAGGTCCATGCTTGCTTTATAACAATTTTCATTGCATGTATTCCTGTTATCTCCCCTCGACAAAGCCTGGTATTAGATGTTTATATAGCTGTAGTAATACTGACATGGCAGATGCAGTTTCCGAAACGCTGTGTTCTCTAGTCTTTAGAATACAGAACGATGGACAAAGTCTAAAAGTCCATTAATTCTGAATCTCATAAACCGTCTCACAGATTTTGTTGAAATTCTGTATGAGAGGTTTCTCCTGAAAGACGTCAGGCGGTTCCTATTTTCAGCGATATTGTTCCATAATAAAGCATATTGTCCATAAAGCCATAAACGGGATTTTCCATTTATTATTTTGCCTGTGGCTCTGTATGGGTGTGAAACTTTGTCTCTGACATTAAGGGAGGAAGTCGTGGGTTCGAGTCCCGATGAGGTCATTGGATTTTTTCAGTTGACCTAATCCTTCCAGCCGCACTAGGCCCTGGGGTTTACTCAGCCTCTAACAGAAATGAGTACCAGGAATTAATTACGTAATTTTCCTGGGGAGTAAAGTGCGGCCGGCGCGTAAGGCTGTCTAGATAATGTGGGATCCCCAATGTCTGACAACCCCTATGGGCCTTCACGGCCTGGTACAGGCATAGCTTTACTTTTTTACATAGACTGAGGGTGCTTGAGAACAGGGTGTTGAGAATATTTTGACCAAATAGAGATGAAGTGACAGGAGGTTGGATAAAACTGCATAATGAGGAGCCTCATAACTTGTACTCTTCTCCAAATATAATTACAATGATCAAGTCAAGGAAGGTGAGATTGGCAGGGCATGAAGCACGAATGGGAGAAACGAGGAATGCATATAGGATATTGGTGGTAAATCCAGAAGGAAAGAGATCACTGGGAAGACCAAGGCGTAGGTAGGTGGACAATATTAAAATGGATCTTAAATAGGATGAGATGGTATTGATTGGATTGATCTGAATCAGGATAGGGACTAGCGGAGGGCTTTTGTAAACACGGTAATCAACCTTCGGTTTCCATAAAATGCTAGGAAATTCATGAGTAGCTGCAGAATTTGCGCCTCCTCAAGAAGGGCTCAGCTCCATTAGTAAGTAAATATTCCATAAACCCTTCTGTAGACTTTGTTGAAATTTGATGTGGAAGACTGTCGTGAATTTGCATTTGGTTACCCCTATTTTATCCAGTCTAGAAAACCGAAATTAACGGCCGTTTGGATCCGTTACACTGACCACGCGACACCCTCTATCTGCAAAAGTTGCACTAACTTCGCGGACAAGTGGCGGTCGCTCGGTCGGTATAGTTCGCTTGCGGACAAAAATCACGGAGTTTGTTTGTTTTTTCCCCTGTTTTAAGTAAACTTAATGAATTTCGAAGGACACTTAATTTGTGTACTATATTATGCCCTTTCCAATCTTTTCGTGTAGGAACATGATGGTATTCCGTCTCCATGGGGATGAGCTTGTGTTTGGCGGCGCCGTGCATCCAGTGCAGCCACAAATTCCACAGATGAAGATGATGAAAGTTCACATCCCTTTCACTTTCAAGCTGCAGGAGTCTTCCCGGTCGTCGTATTCTGGTGAGTCATTCTCTTCTTTACTCTAATACTCGTACTATCCGGCTCTGAAATTCAGAGGTTCTGCGAAAAGCGATGCGAGAGGGGTACTGTACCGTTCACAATGAGAACATTTCCCATTTGTCACATGAAATACTAAGGCCCCCCATACACACACAGTTTGGCCCTCCGATCGACCTTACAGGCAAAACTGTGACAGTTTACCCCCTCGCTTTCCTCCCCATACACGCGCAGATAAAGCGGCAGGCTTCATGCCACAATCACGGTCTTCCAGCCTATAATGTTGAGTCACACACGTCACGTGCTGCGGTCCTGCAGGCAGAACTGACGGACTGACGGGTATCCCACAGGCCAACAGTCCAAACGACTGGCCGGCCGGCCCCACCACACACGTCAGTTTTGCCTTTCAGTCTTCAACTGTGCAGGCCGATATGGAGGCCAAACTGTGTGTGTATGGGGGCCCTAAGACATTGCTCTTGACCGTTGCATCTAAAGCTGGGACCACGCGAGCGCGCAAAATACGTCCGTTGCAACGAACGTATTTTATGACGGACGTTGCTGAGGACACCACGCAGTTGCAGAATGCGGTGCGTAGTTTTTGGTCTGCAATGGGGCCAGAAGAAAGCGTAGCATTCGCCTCTCTTGTTTATTTCTGCAACGGACTTCACGACTTTCGTTACAAAGGACGAATTTTTTGCGCTCATGTGGCCGGCTTCTTATAGCATAAGTAAAATTATGATGCAGAAGTGCTTTTTAATAATAACACATGCGTGTAATACATATGAAGCATTCGCATTCTGGTGATGACCATCGGTCAACAAAATATTTAAAGGCTTTATTTTATTATTAAAAACCGTTATTGCGTTTAATGCAATGTAATCCTAATTTTAAGTATAATGTTTATTTAGTTCTATACTTTGAAATATTTTATAACTAATTTATTTAATGATGCTATATCGTCACCTCCGGTCTAGAAAACAGATTAACGGCCGTGGGGAACCGTTGCGCTGACCACGCGACCCACTCTATCCGCTAAAGTTGGCACTAACTTCGCCGACAAGCGGCGGTCGCTCGGTCGGTATAGTTCGCTTGTGGACTCAAGCCACGGAGTTTTTTTTTTGCTTGTATACTTCATAAAGTATTAATCGTATTCATAATAACAACTTTTTTTGACGCTAGCTTTCAGTTATCTGTTAATTTAATCCCACCGTACATGGAATTCGCTTACCCCTCGGCGAGCCTGAGTATCCCTGAAACACCGGGATACAACAAGCTGTCATACATGTTTTCAAATTCCATTCCATTTCATTATGAACCTACCATTAAACACTGTGTTGTTTGAGACATTTGCAGTGCTGCTAAATAAACCACAAATAAAAGAATTCATGAGATATGGCTAAATAACATACATAAGGAAAATACGTATGTACAAATAGTATTAGTAGAAATATGTAACGCATAGGTGGAAGCATTTTCAGTTGATCTTTCATGAGGTTTGTTTTTTACAAGTGTCACCGTAGGAAGTGAGTGTGCTTGATATATTCCAACCGTAACAATATGTGCACACGTATTTTCTTTGTGAATGTTATTGACGCAGATTTCAAGTATACTTCTGTTGTCGGTTTATTTAGCAGCACTGCGAATGTCTCTCAGACAACACAGTGTTTAATGGTAAGTTCGTAATGAAATGGAAAATAATTTGAAAACATTTTGACAGCTTGTTGTGTCCCAGTATTTCAGGGATTCCCAGGTTCATCAAGCGGAAAGCGAATTTTCATGTACGGTGGGGTTATATTAACAGATAACTGAGAGGAAAAAAAAAAAAAAAAAGTAAAGTTATCCCTGTAACAGGCCGGGAAGGCCCATAGGGTTCTGAGAGGTTGAGACTCACAAATTTTATAGACAGTCGGCTCACAGATGGCGGTAACATCAGCCTTAAGGGCCTGCCGCCCTTTAACCCCGAGGAATATTGCTGACACTCATTTGTGTTAGAGGCTGAGTCGATCCCAGGGCCATAGTGCGGCTGGAAGGATTCGATAACTAAAAGGTAGCGTAAAAATTTTTTATTATGAAGATGATGAATACCTGATTAAGTAAGTAGTCTGCCTAAGGATGTGGTAAGGCCGCGCCGTAGCTCAAGCGGCGGCCCGGGTTCGATCCCGGGTCTGGTCAAGTGGGATTTGTGGTGGACAAAATGGCGCTGGGGCAGGTTTTCTCTGAGTACTTTGGTTTCCCCTGCCAATCTTCATTCCACCAATTGCTCCACAGTCACCCTCACCTATCATCTGGGGCTGGTACAATAGGCCAGAAGTGGCCGCAGTACAAGGGACTTAGTCCCACCCCACTAGCAATAAAAAATATGATGTGGTAGCTCTGACTCACTCTCATTGGAACTTCTATCTTTCTGTCTATGACTCTACAATCCTTTGGTTAGACCTTGGCCATTTTTTCAGTTTCTTAATCTATACACAGTCAGTAGGAGTCCTTGTACAAGGGATCATCCCGTCACAAGGCCGCTACCTTCCCACAGGAGAGCACGGGATCCGAACTCAGTATCCCAGCTTTCGAGCGAGCGAAGACAGTTCGCTCCTTACACCGCACGGCCACTGTGATCGACAAACGAGGGCATACTTTAGAAACGTATTTAGTGGCGAAAGTACGGCAGTGTTCGACAGTAATTTTCGAAGCACCTGATGATGACCATATCAGTCGAAACACGTCATGCGTCAGTGATGTATATATAATTTAAAATTGAAAAGTGAATTTTTAGATTTTACCAGAAGTTTGCGTGCTAGACCGTGAATAAGAAGTGAAGATAAGGAAGCGAGACCTATATGCTCCGTATGGTCTGAATAACATTGGTCGTAGTCAGTATCAGTCCGTCGTTCATTAGGTATGGTAAAAGGGCACTTCATGAGGACGAATAAGGGAAGGAGCATACCTGCTACTTCCTCGATTGGTGGAGGTGAGTGGTCAACTTGACACCCCGGCCGCTCTCCCGAGGGAAACAGCTCGCGATACCTAGGTGAGCCTCTGAGCCGGCATAGAGGCCCTGGAAAAGCGACTGTTGCTGCACCTACAAGGAATCGAATCCCGATTTCTCGGTTGTCCAGAACATAGCATGGAGTTCAGTTTGCCCCCACTCGGCACGTCGGCCACTGATTGCCCTATTGTACCTGCCCCGGGTGATTATGATGATGGAGAATCTGGTGGAATGAAGATTGGTATGGAAACCGAAGTACTTGGGGAAAAACCTGCCCCAGCGCCACTTTGTCCAGCACAAATCCCACTTGACCAGACCCGGAATCGAACCCTGGCCGCAGCGGTGGGAAGCCAGCGACTAACCGCTTGAGCTGTGCCGCGGTCATGCAGACATAGCATAGTCGCTGTACGGAATGAACTATCTCTGCTCCTTCGTTTATTTGAAGGAAACAGAGAACTTTCCTACCTTTATCTTAGCCACGAATCTCCCGTTATGACTGTGAACTGGTTTTCGTTTGGGGTCAACAATGCCCGTTTCTTTTCGCGGTGATGAACTTTGTGCTTTCGTAAGACAGATACTGCTTGAAGGTCATTGAGCACATATGCAGGGGTTCTGTCTTTTGGGATATAACGCCGTGTATTCCGTATATGAACCGATGTTTCGGAGGAACGTATCTCCTCTGTCTTCAGGGTCGAAAATCAGCCAAAAAAAACAGCGAGAGCAGGAGGTTAGGCAGATACGTTACTCAGACTGTTTCACTGTACAGTTCCAAAACTGTTGATAAGAAAGAGATATTTATTACGTACTGTTTCAAATACCGGTATTTATTGTTCAAGTGACAAAGTTGGTACAGTACCTAGTGATAATACATTTTCGAAAATTTCACCGTCAACATCAATGCACTTTGCAACTCGTGTGAGGACATGGCGTGTTTCTCGTCTGTACACTGTACATTGTACTGTTCGGAATTGAACACATGTACATATAAATTTTTTCGTTTAGAATGGCCGGTACTATGACCTCCCAGAATCCTCCTGGGACATCCTGCTTAGCGTCGACAGTAGGAAGAATAATCGATATGTGACAGTGTATAGAATGAGAATTGTCAGCGGAAACTGAAGTACTCAGAGAAGAAAACCTTCCCTAATGCAACTATGTACTCCACGAATTCCATCTGGCCTGGGATCGAAACCGAGCCTCCACGATGGGAAGTCGTTGACTAACCGCCTGTGCTACGCCACGGCTCCATTAAGGACGTGTTTGGAAGTCTGTGTCACAAGAACAGTCAGCTGTTGCGAGCAATATACGCTATGCTTTCTGCCTTCGCTTCAAAACAATGAACATTTCTTTTAGGACACCTCCTAACTTAGTTCCTGAGAATGGTCCAGTAAAATTTTGGATGTTATATCATAACCCCCTCACTCTTCTCCGAAGAAATTATACTGAAGTGTCACTAATTCTACCACTAGAAGAAAGAATGGTATTGAATGAGGTGACATTGCTCTGTTCCGCTACGTGACAGAAATGTCTGCCTGCGATTTTCCCACTGTTATGCGTCATGCTTCGCAATGCGTCGTGCGTGTATTTGTTGTTTATTATTTATCAGACGTTCCGCACTCAAGGTTGCATTGAGACCCAATCCGATTGCCAGACATAATGATGACGCAGTGCGTCATGCCATTCTTTCACACAGAAATACAGATCGCACCCAGCCGAGTGTTTAAAGAAATAATACAATTTCGTCTGTAGGATAGATATGGTGCCTGTCAACGAAATGATACCCAGGGCCGAGTTGAGGCGTTTGTAAACACGTCTCCGGGTTCCATAACGGGTAGGGAATTTTTTGACCAGCTGAGGGACTCATACGGAGATGAACGCTTCTTGAGGAGAAGCCAAATCTGCAGCCCAGCATTTTATGGAACCCGAAGGTTTGTTACCGTGTTCACAAGAGCCCCCACTTGTCCCTATCCTAAGTCAGATCAATCCAATCCATACCATCCCATCCTGTCTATCTAAGGTC